AGATGTAGCCCCCTCTCCTCCTCCTCCTCCTCCTCCTCCTCCTCCTCCTCCTCCTCCTCCTCCTCGTGCTCCTCCTCCTCCTCCTCCTCCTCCTCCTCCTCCTCCTCCTCCTCTCCCTCCTCCCTTCTCCTCCCTCCTCTTCCCTCCTCCCTGTTCCTCTTCCTGGAAGGCGCTCCCTGCGCGTCCTGCCCCAGAGGGCATTGTGGCAGTCGTGGATCGGCTTGCCGTCGCACGGCCACTCCTCCGCCCAGTCCTCCGACACCTTGGGGCGGAGGGACGATGGGAAAAGGAACCCTCCCACCCCTCCCCACCCGAATTTACCCCCCCTCCCTCCCTCCGTCTCCTCATCCCCGTCCTCTTCATCATCATTCCCACCAACACTAACACCAAGACCATCACATCCATCACCGTCACCATCACCATCACCATTACCACCATGACCATGACGATGATTTCGACCATGATCATAAACATGACCATGACCATGACTGTAACCATCACCGTCACCACCACCATCATCACCACCATAATCGTCATCACCACCATCATCGGCAGCATCAGCATCACCATTGCCATCAGCAGCACCATCATCACCATCATCAACAGCATCACAAATGTCCTCCTCCTCCTCCTCATACTTCTCGTCATCATAATCACAATCAGTATCTTGATCAGCATCGTTATCATCATCAGCATGACTGTTTCCATCCCCATCCTCATCATGGTCATTATCGTCACCCTCGTCATCTTATCATATTATCATCACCACCATTACCAAAAACAGCATCGTCTTCATCAGCATCAGCAGCACCAGCATCATCACCATCAAAAGCACACGCATCATCGGCATCGCCACCATCATCATCACCACCACCATCAGCATAATCATCAGCATACTCGAATTCACCATCGTCATCGTTGTCATCAGTGTCATCATCATCATAACGTTCAGCGTGTTCATCAGCAAGGTCGCCACCATCAGCAGCATCATCGTCATACGCATCATCATCATCATTATCATCATCATCATCACCAGCATCATCATCATCATCATCATCATCATCATGTTCGTCATAATCACCATCACCATCATCATCCACACCAGCATCAACTTTATCATCAACAGTCTGACCACCATAGGCAGCATCACCACCACCAACACCAGTATCACCTTCACTACTCGCATCACAACCATCATCAACAACAGCATCATCATCATCATCGTTGTCCTCATTTCCATCGGAACATCATCGATGCCGTACGCGCATCCTCCCAATACTCCTCCCAATGAAGGCGGGAATAGCCACAGTCAACATAGAAAAACGATGAGGGGCGGAGAAGGATCAGCAAGAAGGATGAGGGAGGATCGCGGGAGCACGGAGGGGTGGGGAGCGGGAGGAAGAAAAAGACGGGAGGGAGGAGGGGGGAGGAGCAAGGAGTGAGGAGGAGGAGCAGGAGTGATGAAGCAGGAATGAAGAACGAGGAGGAAGAGGAATGACAATTATCCTGGCGAAAACCCAACCTTTTTTTTTTTCAACCAGCGCGATGATATGACATGTGCGTGACGTGGCGTGTCATCTCTGCAGATTTCCACCGTGCCCTCCAGGGGCCTCTTTCCCGGCCATTGGCTATCGGCACCAGCACGCGAGCGGCGGCCAACGCAGAAAACTGCGGACCTGAAACTTCGAACTGCCGCCGCCTCCACGGATAGAAAAAAAAACAAAAGGCGACAAGCACGACCTAAACAGTCGTGTGCGTACGGTGATCCGCTTCCCCTCATGGGGGCCATAGCCGCTCCCACCGATGAGCCAGGGCCGGCCGAGTAAACGTCACCACATTCAGGGGGGAGGAAGAGGAAGAGGAAGAGGAGGAGGAGGAGGAGGAGAAGAGGCGAGAGAATCCAGTCAAAGGCCAGGAGCAGCGCTCAAGCCAACCTGCCATAGGCGAGCCGTCGCGCGCGTCCGGGGACCGGGATAACCGGCAGAAGTGCAGATTTCTTTGCATCGGAGGTCATCGCCCGACTGCCTGTCAGTCTGGGCTCCCACATGACCAGGGCAGTGCAAGCGTGGAGAAAAAGGCAACACGGAACCGACACCGAGGAGGAGGAGGAGGAGGAGGAGGAGAGAGGAGAGAAGGACAGGCAAAGCAACTTGCGGCGGATGCTGCGGATTACCCTGCACCCTCTACACCGAAGGCGCGTGGTGCTTTACATGCGTTCCATGATGCCTCGGAACTGGGATCTGTACAACCAGTAAGGGTCCACTGCGCCACTCTGGTGCCGAAGGTGGGCTGTGGCGGTGTAACAACAGTACACATGCATAGCTACATATTTGTACGAATCCCTCCAGGCCCTCCCGAGGAGAAAATCGCGGAACGTCCATTCGCTAAAATCTATGTGTGCGTACCGGCGGGCTGCCTCCATCAGGACTGGGCAGCGCCAGTAATGCTCTATCGAATCGGATGCAAATTCTGCCATGCAGCACAAACACGGCGCTTGTTGCTGGAAGCGCCGGGCGCAAGTCCACCCATTGAAAACAGTGTGAAAGCAGCCAGAAACCACGGCTGGTGGTACGCTACCCCTGAGGTGGGAAAAATTGCGAGTTATATGTTCAGCAGTAGCACCTACACGTGTTAGCCCTATGAGGTCGCGCCAAGCGCGGCGACGGCCGAGGCGCCGACGGATAACATCTTCAGGCACGATGGCATGAAAGCTGGCATGCACCCGGGAATATACAGCGGCCTGGCCTCCCTGTACAGTAATGCGTCTGTCTCTCAATGCGTCCCGAGCGGAGCTCAACGTGACCACAGACAAGGAACTCAGCCACGATTGCCATCGCCACTGAAGAGGGGCCTCGTTGCATTGGACTGTCTCCTGCAACTTCACGTGGAGCTCCCGCCATCGAGGACACGTATCGGTCATCGTCCTCGCCGCGGCTGCGAGGTGCAAGGCGCTGATAGAACGGAAGGGGGCCGGGAGTCCGAAGGCGTCAAGATTGTGCTCGCCATACTTGGGCAACCAGTTCCCTGGTCCACGGGCCAGCTTGCGCAGCATGTCACGCTCTGTGGCGAGCAGATCGCTAGTAGGAGCGATCAGCTGCAATACGAAGCTAAGCACGCTGACTGCCAAGGAATTGCACAGCAATGCTGAGGCAGGAAGTCCAAAACAGAGGTCATAGATGTACTCCACTCTCGCGATATACTTGCGTACCGGGGCAGACAATGAAGAAGCACAGGCGCCGGGCCCTAAGACGAAGCCCAAATATTTGCCAGACAACGCTTTCTCGAACTGGCTCCACCCCGGGATTTCCTCCTGGATCAGCTGGGCAAAACGACGCAAAGAGATGCTCCACAGAGGGATGATTATACATTTTTGCGCCTTGCTTCGGAGGTTCGATATGCTCGCAAACTTCTGGAACAGCCAGCTGATAACTGGCCCCTCCACGAACAAGTGGGTGAGGACTATGGCAATGTCGTCCGCGAGTGCTCGGACCAACGACTTCCCGCTCAGGTGGGACGACATCGCACGCAGGAACGGGTCGAGGGCGATGATAAACAGAGTGGGGCTGAGAGGGCAACCCTGCTTCACTCTATTTCGAACACGAGGGATACTGTGCCGCCGAATCTCCAGAAATGGCGGTTGCGAACGTACAGCTGCTGGATTGCCTGTATGATTCCGGTGGGCACTCCGATGATCTCCAACACCATCCAAAGATAACATAAAGACAAGCTCGGGAAGGCGGCCCCGAAATCGTTCAATAAGCACGCCGGGGTATTTGTAGCCGGCCATCTTGACGTCTGTGTTGCCCAAGGAGAGAGGGCGCGTGTCCTGGAGAGGCCTGAAACCAGGGAGACCCGTGGCAGAATCGAGTCCCTTCGCTAGAAGTGCCAACCACGCGTGGTTAGCTTCCTCTGGGAGGGGCGACCCGGCGAGCCAGTCACCCATGGCATTGAAGAGAACTCGTTGGCACCACTCCGGAGCGCACCTCCACGCGCAGTAGGGAATGCCGTCTGGGCCGGGAGCAGAGTCAACCAATCCACGGAGCACATGCGAAAACTGTGAAAAACTGATGTCCCACTGGATGTTCGGGAACGCGACGGCGTGTTCTTCGAGGAACCGGCGGGCGGCGATCTCATCGACAGGCTGCGCAGTAAACGTGGGACCCCAATGACTCGATACAGCTGTATGCGCGCGGGCGGCGTCCGTGATAGGGAGGCCGTCGGTATCCAGAAGGCCCTGCAAGCCAGTTCGGCGCCGTCTCGGGGAGAATAGCGCGACCCACGAGAGTATGCCTGCACGCTTCCGGCTCTTGTGGTAGTCAGGCAAAACACTGCACTCTTCTAGCTCGCGCAATCGGTCCTCGGTGGTCTTCTGGCTGAGGCTCCGGACGACAACCTCGATGCTGGTGAACTTTTCGGGGGTCCAATCCTGCGGGCAACAGCTGCCCAGGATGTCCTGGATCTCAGAACCTCACTGAGCTGGAGCAACCTGACTTCACCAGGAGAGGCACCGACGCCGCCGGGCATCTCCAATTCAGCCGCATCGACCGCATCTTCACCTCGTTACCAAGCTCTTTATTGAGCGGCCTGGAGGTTAGAGTAGCTTCGCCAGGGTTTGCTGCACTCCCCAATTTCGATCTCAGCGAGCACGCGCCTGTCTTCTTCAGCTGGAGGTCGAAGGTCTCGTGTGCTCGCACCATTACGATTCCGAAGTGGGTTCCTCGGCATCCTCTCTGGGAGGTGGTACTTGAGGATTTGAGGCCCCAGCTGATTGGATCATCCTGGAGTGCAGAGGTACATCTTAAGGAACTCTTCCATAGGGCAGCCCAGGAGATCAAGCGACGCGTCCAGCATCATGGCGCCCACACCTCGGAAGAGAAACTATGGTGGTGCCTGAAATTCTTACGGGCCGCCCACAGCGGCAACACCAAGCAGGCGCTGATTGCTGCTTCTGTCTGTCCTGGCGAAAACCCAACCATATGCAGTCGTGGGTACCGTAATCGTGAATATCTTCTTCGGTGAAGTTCCCTATGGGGCCACAAAGCGCTGCAGTGGGTAGGGGGGGAACGCATGCGGGCGGTAGCACTGGGGCCGTCGGTGGAGCTCCCTATGAGGCCACGAAGCGCTGTACTGGTACTGGGCGGGTGAAAATGCCAAATTCGGTGTGTGGGACGCATCCGATCGGTCCCACTGGGGGCTTCGGTGGAGCTCCCTATGGGGCAACGAAGCGCCATACTGGGTTGGTGAGAGCTTAGGCCTGAGACTGATGCTACATTTCCAGGGGCCGCTGCTGCGGTGGCGGCCGCTGTCGAGGCTGCTAAATTTTCTCGAGCATGGTCTGTCTGTGGCTGGCGCTGAGGCAAGCGGGAGCCAGTTGCGCCTGCGGGATTTAAGTCGGGCGCGTCCCTCTACGGGAGGGGTATTCAAAAATAGAGAAAAATCAGGGGACGATTGATCTACATGTTTTTGGCACTTCTTGAATACTTTTGGGCTGTGCTTCATGTTTCGCCCAAAATCCGCATGTAAGGGGACATGCCCGACTCAATGCTGAGTCCATCGTCGAACTCCACGGGCGCCAGGGTGTGGTGCTCCCCGCGGCCATGGTCTGCACCACTTGTGGCTTGGACCAAGCGGCTCCGGATAGGGCTGCCTCCTCTGTAGGGGCCCTGGGACACACAAACAAGTACACACAAATAACAAGATCCCCCATGTCTTCCCATATTTCCTGGGTTTTTGTCTCCCCCCCCACTTCCCATATTTTCCCATATTCTCTGGGGAGTCGCCGATGAATTGTGTCTGTGTGTTTCTTTCCCTCCTAATTCCTCTTCCCCTTCCCGTGAGCAGGGCGGGGTCGGCCTCGCACCCGGCCGCGCCCAGCGCCTCCTGCACCAGCCGCGCCTCCTTCCCGCTGACCGCCCTGCAGTTCGCGTCGCCGGCGCCGCAGCCCTCGACGCACTTGGTGCCCTTGAACAGGTTGTGGCCTTAGAGTCATGTCGGGCGTGTCCCCCTACAGGGGGATTGTCGACGAAAAATGAGACATGCCCCCAAAATGCCCCCAGAAGGCCAAAAAATACTCCAAAAATGGTCCCCGGACTATGTTTGGACTATTTTTTTTAATTATTTTGGTGGGATTTCTTATTTTTCGTCGAAAATCCCCCTGTAGGGGGACACGCCCGACTTAACCTTAGAGTTCAGAGGCCTCCCAAAAGGGGGTGCGGGCAGATGGGATCGGAGGATCGCGTCGCGATGCGCGAAACGTCGACGATGCACCGGCGATGTATGACCGATGCATCGACGCAGTCATCGTGGAGAACATCGTACTCCACATCGAACAGCACCGCCGATGCCTCAGCTATCGACCAGCATCGCCGACGCATCAGCGATGCGGCGCGATCCTCCGACGCTCGACGCGCAGGGTGGCCTTGAACAGATTGTGGCCTCGGACCTGGCTCTCTCGGGGCTCGTGTACCAGATCTCCGACGACGTCGTTGTCGTCGTCGAGAGCGTCGTTGTCGTCGTCGTCGTCGTCGTCGTCGTAGGGGGGGCGTCGATGAGGGCGTCGTCGTCGTCGTCGAGGGCGTCGTCGAGGGCGTCGTGGTTCAATCTGGGCGCTGCTCCGGGTTTTTGTGGCCTCGGGGGCCCGGGGCCCGTGATCGGGCCCCGGGGACCACCGAACAGAAGCCCAGGGATAAGTCGGGCCTGCCCCTCTGAGGGAGGAATAATCAAACATACATTTTAAAACAAAATATGGGGGCGATGTTTTTGATACTTTTGGGCATGTTGGGGGTTTTCTTGTAATACTTTCAATTTTTCGCCCAAGATCCGCCTGTAGGGGGACATGCCCGACCTGAACCCAGGACGACAAGCTGTTCCCAGGGAAGGCGTCGGGACCTCTGGGAAGCGGATTCAAGGAGATCACATCGGCGGGTGGCAAGGTCTTGGGCCTCGACAAACTGTCTCGGCCCTCTGTTTTGGGAGGCAGTGTCTGCGAGGTCTTCGCAACAAGAAATAAGGGCTACTCAAGACGAGTATGGGACCACTGGGCCGTACTAGGCTAGACTCAGTGACGGCATACCGGATCAGGCCGGTTGTCGATCACGGATACGCCAGCGCCGATGCTGAAGTTAACCTCCCAGGAGTTGCATTCAACCTATTGGCGGCGTACACAATGGGGCGGCGCGAGGGGGGTGGGCTCCTAAGGAGGCGGCGGACCTTCGTAGAAGGCTAGGTCGGGCATGTCCCCTTACAGGCGGATGTTGGGCGAAGGGTTGAAAATACGCTGAGGAAAAAAAAAAAAAACATACAAAGAAACTGCTTGAAACACCGTCCCCAAACTTTGTTTGACTACTTCTGGATATTCCTCCTGTGGAGGGACAGGCCCGACTTCATAGAAGGCCCAAGGACCTGCCGGGAAGGCTTCGCATAAGCCGGGCGGACTCCCAAGAGTATCCCCCCTGCCTTCTAAGAAGCCCACCGCCTGCTCGGGAGGCCACCCCGCTCGCGTCAGCACCTAGTGGGCGCCGCTCATCCTACTGACCTCCTCGCGTCGTGAAGGTGAGCGTTTTTTAGTCGGCGTTTCGACATCGGGCGGAAGTCGGCGGTGGACAAACCACCCTTTAGTAGACCTCCCCTTAGTGGAATCGGCCTGGGACCGAAACCGACGGACCTGGACCCGCAGAAATGACGGCCGCGACGCCCTCTCGCGAACCGAAAACGGCCATTTCCTTAATCGACGTGTCAGGGTAGGTCTGTCCACCTCCGAACATCGGGCGGATGGGGGGGGGGAGGGAAGGGTGGTCTGGCTCCGGACCTCTGCGTAGTGCGGTTGCGTGCAAGGGTGCGTCCTATGGGGCAGGAGGCCCCACCTGCTCGAAACAAGCGCCAAAAGACAAGCAAGATCTACTCCATGGGGAAGGGGGAAGGGGGGGTTGGCGGCCCGCGCCGATCGGCAAAACGATGAGTAAAAGAACGATCCCTCATGGATGGCGACGGACTGTGTTTGACCCTTCTCGGCATCTTGGGTGGGGGCCCTTGACGGGCCTCGGGCCATCAAACAATTACTCAGGATGATGAGCCGGGCCCAGGTACAGTCGGGCTGCTGAAAGAAGGAACGATAAACGAAGCCCCTTTTTGGCCCCACAAACGCCTGCGTGCACGAGAGGAAGGCCAGAGGGAAAGGCCATAGAAGGACCTGAGGAATATCGAGCCCCCTTCTTACCCAACACTGTTCCTCATTTCAGCGGCGTCTGGGCTGCAAGTGCTGCAAACCTGTCAGGTTTGCAGCACTTCGCCATCGCTTGGACGTCCAGGTTTAACCTGAGGGGTGCACACCTCGCCATCGCTTGGACGTCCATTCACTGTGATTGTTTCGGTTTCGTGCGTGGGTTTTTTCGCCAATTGATCAAGGATGCTCCTCGATGGCCCTCGCCGAAGGAAAAATGCACACGCCCGAGCGATGCCAAGACACTGCCAGCAGCAGCCCGGCGTCGGAGGTCAGGACGGGTCACGCAGCCGCGCGCCTCGCGCCTCGCGGCGTGCGGCGCGCGGGTGCCTCTGCGCCCATCGTGAGGCCGTCTTGGAGAAAGGGCGACTCTGAAGGGGCCCCAGGACACACAAATAAATACACACAAACAAAAACATTCCCCATGTGTCCCAAGATTTTCTGTGCTATTATCTTCCCCCCCACTTCCCATATTTTCCCATATTTACTCGGGCATCGACGATGAATTGTGTCTGTGTTTTTCCCTCCTGAAACTCGCAAGCCCAGGCCACGACGCGCCACACGCAATCATCCGCAACCGCGCTCGCATCCTCTGCTGTGCGTCGGGCGTGCAGTACTCCCAATCGTCCATCTGCACATGGGGCTCTTGTTCGCAGTGTGACGCGCATCCTTCTCTCGCCCCCCTTCTCCTCCTGCCCCCCCTCATACTCCTCCTCCTCCTCCTCCTCCTCCAACTCGTCCTCCTCCTCCTTCTCCTCCTTCTCCTCCTCCTCCTTCTAGTCATCCCTCATCCCTCTCATCACTCGCGATCGGACGCGCCCACACTCAGACTGACTCTCAGTCAGACTCGCTCACATCTCCACTCGCACTCGGACTCATTCATACTTAGCCCCAACACTCATTCTCATTCACACGCAGATGCGATCAACCTCAGCCTCACACTCAGACTCACTCATCCTCAGACTCAGCACACAGGCTCACTCATGCAACGATGAACTCATACTCCGATAGACCCAGACCTCACACTCGATTCGTGAGGGTGTCTCGAGCGAGGCGCTGTCCTCAGCACCCCCAAGGGGGGAGGCGCCAGGGGTGGTTGCACGGCCCCCTTCGCGCCCATAGTTTTCTTGGGGTGTCTCAAGCGGCTTGCCTGTGGGGTGGCTAAGACTTGAGCGCTGTCAAGAGCAAATTGCGAGGACGTCTCGAGCGAGGCGCCGGCTTCAGCACCCCAGAGCCGAAAAGGGTGGCTTCACGGCCACAATTGCGCCCAGACTGTGGGGATGTCCCAAGCGGTTTGCCGGTCTGGTGGCTTCGACTTCGGTGCTTTCAGTGCAGATTGTGAGGCTGTCTCAAGCGAGGCTCTGGCTTCAGCACCCCGATGGGGGAGGCGCCAGGGGTGGTTGCACTGCCGCGTTCGCGCCCAGATTGTGGGGATGTGTCAAACGGTTTGTATTGGACTTGGACTGTCAAGCGAGGCGCTGGTTTCAGCGAGCCAAGGGGGTGGTCCACGATGCCCTCCCGCGATGGAGATTCGAGATGTCTCCAGAGGGACGTCGTCAAATAGGGGGGACCACGCCACCATGAGGACCCTTTCCTGGCTCTTCGCGATAACAGCGGTGGTGTCAATGCTCTCCGTCCGTGCAATCTCGCCACTCCCGAAGCACGCTGAGGGCAATACGAATGTAACGTCGGGCTGTTAGGAGGCAACTACTTGGAGGTTTCCGTCGGAAAGAGTAAGGAAGATTCAACCCCATTTGGGAGGTGTTATGCTGGAGTGGGCATCGGATGAAGCGGGCTTAAGCGGGATTAAGCAGATTCCGGACCAGGGCAAAATCAGAATTTGACCTCCCAGGAGTTGCATCTGAAGAGCTGGGCGATGACGACAACGGACGTCTTCTGAAGGCCTGCAGAGGACCCCAGAGGCCCTGCCTGGGGGTGCCTGTCGTCGCGGATGGGTTTCTGAAAGCCCGGGGGCCAGAGACGGGCCCGTCGAGGCCAGCGAGAAACCGCCGTTCTTGACTTCGGGAGCCTCTCGGGTCAAGGCGCCTCGGTCGAGGTCGCGAGGAACTACCGAGCGGGAACCGTTGTCGTCGTGGCTAGGCTCTCAACCTGACTGCATAGCCAAGAAGTCAGAAGAGAGAGCGCCGTTCCCGAGTTTCGGGGCCTCTCTGGCCGGGGCCTCTCGGAGTAAGCTGAGAGCGAGTGTCGAACAGGAGCCCTTGTCGTCGTGGCTGGGTCCCCATCAACTTGACTAAATTGCGAGAAGGTCTTGAGCGAAAGCGACGTTCTTGAGTTTCGAGGTCTCTCTGGCCACGGCGTCTAGGAGAAATCAATTAGTGTCGCCGTGGCTGGGCCTCTCTGGCCACGGCGTCTAGGAGAAATTCTCGCCGTGGCGGGGCCTCTACCAACTTGACTGGATTGCGAGGAAATTGCAACGAGGTCTCGAGTGAGAGCGCCCTTCTGAAGGTTTGGGCCACCATCTCTCGCCGAGGAACCCCGGAAGAATTTGTGAGGACGTATCGACCAGGATCCCTTGTCGTCGTAGTTGGGCCTCCACCAGAGCCGTCGTCGTCGGCGCTGCTACACATCCCTCATCATGGCAACTCGCCTGGAGATTGTTTTTGGATGGGCTGGCGGGGGCGCGCGAAGCGTGGGGAATTCCTATGACAAACTGGCCATCACAAGACGTTTTGCAGCTTGTGTTCCCTTCACAGCCGTGCGGAATAGTGGGCATGGATGTGTCATGGTAAGGGTCGATCCCACGCGAGCCCTCCCACGCACCCCCGCCTCCGCGCTGCACACATGTGACGTGAGCCGATGCTGGGAGTTCCACAATGTCGGCACTTATTCCCTTCGGCAGTGAGAGCTGTACACTCGAATGTCCCTTCGGCGTCGCTCTGGCGCTCGACAGGCCCACTCGTACTGGCAGTGAAGAGAACGGATCGGAGCTCATCGGAATTGAACTGTACAAAATCGTCAGGCTCCCTGAACAACATCATGCGAATACTGCGAGCATGCTCCGTGGGAACGGTAATCCCTGACTGCGTGGCAATCGCACTGAGAAAGCCGCTGTTCGTTCCTTCTCCTCCTCCTCCTCCTCCCACCCTTCCTATTCTTCCCACTGAAAGCAGGCTGCTCCAGTTCTGTTCCAACGCATTGTTCAATAAACTGTCACTCCTACAAGAAATCATCCTGTACGTGATCACACGTCGAAAACTGTTGTTCGAATAATTTCGGATGATACGAATGTGCCTTTGTGTGCAGCCGTGTCATACTACAATGATGGCATAATGCAAGCAGCTACCTGCCATGCATTCGCCAAGACAGTGGTCAGGCGAATGGAACGCCAACAGGAAAAGCTACTGGAAGAGCTGTAGTGACTGAACTTGTGCGCTGCCTCAGTCTCACGGCTCTGGGGGAGAAAGCCGACCACTCTGATGCCACAAAGCTCACCAAGCTAACCGAAGACTGTTCACTCGCCTGGCTGACATCGTCTCGTGCTGTCTGACCCACGGATATCTCGACGGGAGGGTGATACAGCCACCGGGCGAACGCCATCAACGCAACTGCACTCAACATCAATGTAGCTCCAAAGGTTGTAAGTAGTTCAGGTCCATGGCGATACAGCAAGAACTGGAAGGCGTATCCCAGCGCCATGCTGGTGGCCGAAAATATGGTGGAGCTTAGAGCAGCAGGGCACAGCTGCGCGCCGAGGCTCATGGCTCCCGACGCGAAGATGCTGAGAGCCATGAAAGCAATCAGCGCAACCGTCGTCCTCAGCGGAGCCGCAAATACGCTCTGCAGAGGCAGCTCATTTACCATGCCGGCTAGAGGCAGCACAAAACTGATGCCCCCCTCGATTACCATGACGGAAGTGGTCATCACGAGGGGACTGATGTCATGTGCCCTTCGCGCAGCAATGAAAGTCCCCCCAGAAGCTACCCCGGCTGCCAGCGCCGTGGCGTAGCCAAGCAATGGCGCCCGATTCATGCTGGCACCACCGAAGAGAAACTCAGGCTTCGATACGAGTACTGCGCCCACAACGCTCATGAGCAGCGCAAGGCCGTGAAGAGGGTGCAATGCCTCGCCAAGGAAAGCACGCCCCAACAACGCGGACATTACGATGTTGATGCAAGAAAGCGCGTTTACGTCTCCCAGCGACGCACCGAATGAGACAGCCATCAAAGTCAAGGAAAAGACACTCGCGCCGAAGACGCCTCTCAAGATGACCCATTTCCAGCAACCCCAGGACAGCTGTGAGAGCTCGCCCCTGATGATGCAGGTTGCTGTGAGCGCGAGCCCAGCGAGCAAGGTTCCCATACCATAGAGGTAAAAGAAAGGCAACCCGAACCTCGACGCCGCCGTGCTTGCGGCTCCAATGAATGTTACACTAGCGCCCGCCAGTGCTGTGACAGACATTCCAAGCACCTCTGTGGCGACCATACCGAAGCAAAGGTGACCAACGTGACGGACACCGAGACAGTGCAGCACACAAGGCTCGCGAGGCTCACGTCGAGCCGCCTTCAGCCAAAACCGCAAGCCTCTGTACTCGCTCTGTTCTGTACAGTCCACCCTCCAATATGTACCCTCTACTCTGACTGTGCTCGCGATGACCCCCGGGTACCTGGCCACGGCCAAGAATCCAAGAACCCAGAATTGAGCAGGGACCAACCGTCCTGGCATTCCTATAGCCATACCACGAAATGATCTTAGAACCCAAACATGCCCTAAGAACAAAACAATGTTCTTGGAGCATAAAACCGATGTGCTAAAACAAGGCTATCTGAACCGGAAATGTTCTAAGAACATTTCGTGGAAACCACAAAAGGTTCTTAGAACATTGTTTGGTAGGGTTGTAGGCGAGTCAGGACGCTTCGCCACTGCTCGACAGAAACCAGGAGCCCAGGAACTCTGACCCCGAGAAAAGGTGGCCTACCGAAAGCGGCTTGGCACTTGCGCGGAACCCAGAAGCCCGAATGCCCAACACAATCGGCAGGACACGTTCGCCGAACCCACCAGCCTGCGCTCGGACCCCTTCGGTGCAGCACTCCTTGGAGAGGAATGCCATCGCATTGTTGCGCACGAATCATCTCATCTCCTACTGAAAAATCCTGACGTTGATCCCGAAACTTCCAATGGTTTTGCTCGGCAATGCTGGGCGATGGTCCTGAATCCCATCCCACCGGCCTTTTTTAGGACGATGGTCCTGGGTCCCACCCCCTTCTTCCCCTTCGGGGAGGTGTTACCTACCTCCCTATCACCTTCTCTGGGTCTGGACGGGAGCTTAGCGAGGCGTTAGAGCGTCCAAGGTTGCCCAATACGGCTCCGAAATGGCCTTAGGTAGCCCAAGATAGCCTCCACGATCGCACGAGATCGCAGTGCCTCCGGCATGCCTCCGAAGGCCCCCGGGCAGCCCCGAGACGGCTCCAAGTGGCCACGGAGCCTCCCGCGGCCGCCCCCGAGAAGCAAACATCTTGAAACACAAGTGCGGTTCTTGAATGTTGTTTGCCTTGCCGCCTGTCTGCTCCGATGGGAATCTTCGGCCGCAAGATGGCGCAATGATGGCCCAAGAGAATCCCAAGAGGGGAGCTGCGATACGGCCCCGAAAGCGCACCAAAGGAGCCCCTCGAAGCGAAGTTAAGGATTGGGAGGAAATTTCGAGCGGGAGCCCTTGTCGTCGTAGCTGGGCCTCCACCAACTTTACAGAATTGCGAGGAGATCTCGAGCGAGCGCGCAGTTCCTAAGTTGTTGGGCCCACTCTGGACAGGGCGTCTCGGAGCAGATTATAAGACAGTGTCGAACGGGAGACCTTGTCGTCGTAGTTGGACATCCACCAACTTGATGGAATTGCCAAGAACTCGGGGTCGAGAGCGCCGATCCGAAGTTTTGGGCCCTCTGTCCTGGGCGTCTCAAGAATAACGTGTGAAAAAGTATCGGCCAGGAGCCGTTGTCGTTGTAGCGGGGCCTCCAAGGACTCACTTTGGGATCCGAGCCTGCGCTCGAGAAGGAGCTTCGGTTTCAAACGAGTCCAGAAATCAACAATGATTGTTCTCTAGGGGTGAGCGTTCGACGTCGACATCGTCGTCGCCGCCGCCGTCACCGTCGGCGCCCGCGTCGTGTTGGGTCTAGAGGGGAGGCCAGGTCGTCGACGCAAGTAGGGCAAGGGTCGCGCAAGTCCCGAAATAACAAGTCTCAAGCTTTGGGAGCATCCAGTGTCGTGCGTTTTTGTTGATGCAGTCTTCGACGGGCGTCCTACATGTCGATTGGGAAAACGCTCGTTTCGGATCGGGTCCCTTGCGACTCAAAAAGCAAACATGCGGATTCGTGTCTTTGGGCGACTGGTTGACATTCCCCATGCGTGTGTTAATTCGCCCTCCTCTTTTTGTTTCGCGGTCGCCGCGACGGCCCAACGGCACGAAGAGTCAACCGTTTCGGCAGCCGATACGCAAACTGCGGACAAGAAGTGGGCACGCCGAGAAATCGGGAAGCAGAGAAGACAAAAGGGTCATCCATGTGCATTGCTGCTGCAGGCTTCAAGGAGGACCAATGCGTGGCTCGGCCTTTTCTTCTTGCAGAAAGTATTGCCATAATGCCTCGAGCGATGCGCTGGTTTCACCACCCCTGGCGGCCAGATGGTGGAGATGTGCCAAGCGAGGCGTCAGGCTTTGCACCTCGAACCTTGTCCATTCAGAACCCCATGTTCGCTTCGACGGCTGCCACGATCGAGAAGGCAGGAATGAGGTGGTCGCAGGAAGAGGGCGACGTGAGGGATAGAAGGGAGG